GTGCACTCTATTGACATTGAAATATAACATGACTATATGGGGAAAATAGAAGTTTTAAGGCATTTATTGTGAAAGATTTCATTAAGTACATATGACATAGCATGAATATTGTTTATATGATGTTCGGAGGGAAAATTGCTCGACGTTTTCATACTTTTGCGAACATATAGTACATTTGTAATTCTATATGGCTTTTTGAAATAAACAAAAAAATAAAAGTAGTTGTTTTACTATACTGTACATACTGTATAAGTTTCTTTATTATATCAACGCATAAGATGCAGTCATCACTATTTTATTTATCTGTCAGATAAAATCACTTCTTGTCATATACCAATTTTCACACAAAATCAGAGACTTACATGTGTACTTCAATGGAATGTTAAAACATTTCTTGACACAATTGTATGTAAATACGAACAAAACGAAATGGTATAAAATAGACGAACAAACTGACAAACACACTGACTATCTTATTTTTCTGTTTTGTGATTTTCTAGCTAAAGGTTGTACAAAACCACTGTTTACCACATGTGCTGATGACATTTTGGAATGGCATTTATTGTTCGCACAATAGCTGATGAATAATGTAGCAATAACATATAATCTTTGGCATTCGTTCTTATCCTAAATATATGAACTGTATTGTGACTTAAACTGTACCAATTGTGTGTTACGAACAGGCTATTTCACTTAAATAAGATTAATAGTTAATGCATTTATTTTTCGTCTGTCTTATATTTTATAGATACAACATACATTATCAAAATGCATAATATGTTTTAATGAAAGTCGTCGGAACGTGCGGCGGGGAATGTTTTAACTGTCCTGGTTTCTGAATTCCTCACTACACTGAAGAAGTTATAGGGTTCCGATTTTAATCAGTAAAAAGTCCAACTGATGAATATTTCGAAATAGATTCGGATGAAATAGAATAATATTTATTTTTGTTTTAAATATTACATTCCACAATATTTTATATTTGAAATATAAATTTTCAGAGAAAAGTGTCTAACGAGCTAAGTAAGAGCTAAGTACGAACACCTTGTTAACTTTAAATAAACACTCTATGGCAACATCTTTTATGGAAAAATGGTTTTTCCGCCACACATAGACTTATGAAAATTGTAAGAATATCGTGGCTAGTTGGATAATATAGGTTTTTGGCAAGAATACCGTAGAATTCAATAAACTTACACCGGCGTGACTTTAATTAATATCACCACATCCGGAGCTTACTTAAAACATTACAAATATTAACAAAAATCATCATAATTTGCGATTTGAAGAAGAAACAAAGAAGACAAATTGAAATTTGGTTCTGAAATGTCACGAGATACACAAACAGAATAACTCAGCAGCCATTATTATAGGCAGTCTGGTCAGATTTTAATCAACTTCCTCTGTAGGTGATGGTATTCCTTTTTCAGATTAAGATGAATTATGCTATGCAGACTTAAACGATTTAACAGGCAAATTATTAATATTTAATATTGATTGATATTTAAAAGATGAACTAAGAGTAATGTCTTATGAAATTCTATCAAAATCACGTGTTTTGTGGTGGCAGCACTTTAATGTTTTGTTTTGTTTTTGTTTTTTTAAATTTATTTTGAAAGATTATCAAAAAAACATATGTCTAAAGTTAATTTCAATGAGCAGTCAAAATATTCAGAATGATCAGAAACAATGTATATACTTATATAAAATAACGTTAATTGAAATATTTTGTTGAAAGAAATTCGCAGTAAACGACATAATCGAAATAGAGATTTTGACACCTTATCAGGCGAGAGACACGAGAACAAAGATTTTTTTCATGGATATATATTGGCTTTACAAAAATTCATATCTTCCACGAGTACATATTACAAAAAACATGTGATGTGGGTATTATTTCAGACACTTATTAGTTTTCTGATGAAATTGTCTGAGTCTCAGAAATACGATAATCAAAAAGGCTTGTTACTGGCCCGACCATTTACGCAACAAAGACAAAAGAGATCCAGAATTGATAAATGCATCACAGGAAATTGCTATGGATTGGGGCCGAAGGTTTAGTCTGTCAGCTTTGTCAAGGAATTTAATCTCAGTGGCTGATACATCGCGTCATTTTCCCGTTTATTTCCTTAAATTCACTCGAGTTGTTCACGGGTGTAAATGTGTGATTAGAAAGTTTAATTATCATTATGGCAGTTCTCTGCAATTGAAGATTGTAATCAATAATTTTCTTATTATTTTTTTTTCTGAATAACTAAAGTCTTATTGAAAAAGGGTTTTATTTTCTCAAACAATAAATATTATCACAAACAGCGCTGACTTTTTAAACGTATATTCTCTAGGTTTATATTACGACTTAAAGCTGCATGCCTCCAGATAAGTCAAACTATTTCAATAGAGTCAAACTTGAGAAATATATACAAAGATTTTAGGGAAAATAAAATGATTCATGATTAAAGTAATAATCTACATGTTATGTGCAATTAATGACCGATTTTTCAGTAATTACAATTATATTTCTACTGCGTTACTAACGCAGTAAGGGCTATTTATGCATATTTTGACCACTTTTTGGAAATTTACGTTGGTTGTAAAGTGCCATTTATAATGTGTAAATTTCTTCTTTTTTACTAACATTCACATACATTTTCAAAATTTTCATGACAATAAGCTGGATGCGTGCTGCTTTAAACTAAAAGGCTGAACACAAACGCTTATTGCGTATAATCAGAATTTTCGTGCAATAAGTTTTATGTAAAAATTTTATCTTTAATATGCCATACATTCTTCCTCAGTCAAACAAATCATGCCTGAAGATATTACTAGATATGTCATTATAATTTTACATCACCATACTGTATAATCATTCCACAACTAGACATAGATAAATCAAGCATTAGAGATACACATATGTTTAATAATACGAATCATACAATTTACTATAAAATTGTTATTAATACCACATGATTACATAATTTATTATTTATGATCTATTGTTATCTCCTACGCATTCTTAGCAAACTGAATATATTTGTTTTGAATCATAGATTTAATAAGAGAAGAATTTGAAATACGATATTATATTGATGATTATCAAAGTGTATGCTTTCCATAAGACATCAGGTGACATTTTACAAGTTGCCGGTCATAGTCGTAAAATCACTGTAAAGAATATTTTGTCTAATCCCTTTTTGTGTTCGGCTTTAATTCACAATGTCAATATTATAGTCATTTAAAAACTATCCAGCGTAACTAGTAGGCGCTGACATTATCTCAGGCACGAGTTTGCATGTGAGTGAGTCTCTCGCAGTATTCGAACGCACAGCGGTGAATGGTTTGTGGCTCGAAGTCAGCTAACCCATCAGTTACATTATAAGGAGGTCCCGTTGTGAAATACTTTCATCATTATAATGTCTCAGATTAACAGTAGGAAAATATTTTCATGTAAGAATGCATATTATACATTACACCAGTGTCACAAAATAATTGTTTCAATTCCCCTTCCTGAAATAATAATATCTTAAAAATAGTGTCACTTAAAACTATAAAGACAGGAAATTCTTATTTTTTTACTTTGCTATTGTTGTTATTAGTTTCTTTTTATTTAATTGTTTTTTCTACGAATTAGTAACTTTAAAAGAATGCCATCTAAGAATGACTTTCATCAACTTTTGCTATTATTTTACATTAGTAATAGAATAAAGAAATAAAACCATTCTATAGAGCTCTACCATTTATCTGTTTTCATTTTTATATAGATTTTTGATAATAATGTTATTTTAATTTATAATCAATAATACCGTAAATTAGTTACTGGTATTGAATAAAATAGGACGGCACTGGGAGCGAACGCCCTATCATACAAAGGCAATTCGTTCTCTATTGACCTATTAGCATAAAAAGGATCAAATGTTAAGTATCGATTAATCAATAAACAATAATGGAAGGAATTATGTTTATAGTGCAATTACCCGTCCTTAACATTATTTCTACAAGATTTGTTTTGTCGCGGCGTAATTGCCTTCACCCATGAATCAGTTATAAAAAGCAAGAAAAAATAACGAACATGCCATCCCTAAATGTAACGTGTTACGTTTTCATCATAAAAATAGTTATGCGTTTCTATAATATCTAATGTATATAATTGGTTTAATATAATAATTATAATACTAAAAGGCAACGTTATGTTTTCGTTAAAACAATTTTGAATCGAAACATTCATTTAAATGCAATCCTCTGATCACGGTGATATAATTGATAAAAGTTGCATTACACTATTTGAGAAGTAAATAATCAATCTTAAACTTTCGGCTTTGTGAACAATTGTAAACATTACAAATACTAAAGAAAATGTTTAAGCGATGTTTGTATTTTTGGGTAAATTTTTTAAGTTACAACAATAATGTTAAAGGTACACGTAGTAGCCTCTCAAAAAATTAAATAAATAAATAAAGTTATAAAGAAAAAAATAAAAGTAAAAAATAAAAGTAAAAAAATATATAAAATAAAATAATAAAAGAAAATCAAACACAAATTGAACATATATATTGATTTAACAGTTATTATAAACAAAAAAGAATACTCTTCAATTGAAGACTGTTCTTAATCATACTTTTAATGCTAACTTCAAAATATATTTCAATATTAATACATCAATGTGACAAAATGATAACAAGGTGCTTTATTTTTTATGTTATAATTCTATTTGCTTTGATAATCGTTTACATATTTTTTTTTATTTTTCTTATTTAAGTTTACAAATAATTATATTTTACACACAGAGCAGATGTGATTACGCATTACATATTCTCCATTTTATTCTATATGATTGCCTTATAATAAAATTGGTTATAAAAAACTAAATTGCATTGGCTGTTGCATATACAATAATCATCTCCACAGTATTAGTGGTTGTTTAAAGTTTTAAAGAGCGACTTAATGATACAGAAATACTTTAAAAAAAGAATAATAAAAAAACAACAACAAAAACAATGACTTACCTATGTGTATAGAAATAGACAACAGGAATGTCAAAACAGCGGCCTTTGTCAGCCGGTCCGGTACTGGTATCCTTCCCATAATCGTGAGTCACGAAGTTCCATAAAAATATATCCACATTATCTATTAATAAGTCTCCGAATTTCAAAAATTTCGTTTACATAATATTAACACAAGACTATCGTATATTCAGAAATAATTTCCAATAACTATCTATAAATATATAGAACACTTTAATTTAATCCGTTCATTCCAGCTATGTGCATGCCATTTTAGACTTTTCACTGATATTTTCCAAAGCGTTTTCGGTTAGATTTGCTTAAGCATATTTTTATAATACTTGTGTTTTGGCAAGATAACCGAATTCGCTTCTCAGCGCATTAGGAAGCAATACAACTGACAAAATCCAATAGAATATCGGCCGCAACCACTTTTTCTCAAACTGGTATCCGAGTCGGTTATTTTCTCTGATCTGTGTACGGTTTTATTCCATTTATTTTTCACTAATTACCACTTTAAATCCAGCAGGTTAGGTAAAATACAACAAATACCTTCTGACGGCTGAGCAAAATATGTTTTCTCGGCAACAACAGCTGTTGATGCAGTTTTCTTATAAAATGCCTTTTGTCTATATCTTAGTCAATACCTTTGTTATTCGCTGCTCATCTGAACTTAATGGTAAATACTTGGATCAAAGATAGTCTGAAAATAGAGAAATATGTAAGAGTAATTAAACATCAAAACAATCGGTTTACTGCTGCAGTAATTGAATAAGTTAACTTTACCGCTTTCTTTATACCCGCTAAAACGTTTCCTAAAAACAATAAGAAATGCTTTTATATAATTTGCAAAACATATGAAACCAAATTTTACAGATATATTTTTAATTATCCAATGTATATTGATACTCGTAACATGCTGCGTTCTGCACAGACACATGTTAGCAACAAAAATCTATGTTTATGTAAAGGTGAAAAGTATTTTTAACACAAATAGCCAATGTGTTTATAATTCATTATCAAGCAGGAATCATGTGACATTCAGAGTAAACTATGTTTTGCCAACTTCTTTGAACAGAAATGAAAATTTGACCTGAATTATTATTGTCGACAAATGCACCACCAGACAAAAAATTTCTTATAGATTTGATAGTAATAAAACATTTACTCTTCCAATTTCTAGAACAATGGACATAAATATTGTTCTTGAGGCTGAAAATAAATTCCTGTCAATGGTATGGCACAAACGCATTATTTTTCGCCAATTTAACTCGGCTCAATACATAACCCCGTCTCTCTATTATACATAATGCTTTTAGTCACTTGGCACATTTGAGAATATTTTTTGCATTCCTTTAGTGTCTGATCTAGCATTACATCTGGTATGTCCTATATAACGCGGGAAATTATGAGAACAAGCGCCATTATTGTAATAATCTAGATTTATATTTTGTCATTCTCCAACCTAGAATGTTGGCACAGTATTATTCTACGTAATCAATTCATTCATATACATCACGTTAATGTCATTTATTTTACATTGAAATCTCAACATGTAACTTAAATATATTCATAATCGAGGAAAAAATCCTGCTTTCAAATGATTAAAAGTTGAAAAAAAATGTCAAAGAAGTAAAATTTCATACCAAGAAATTTTTGAAAGACAAATATCAAAATTTACACCACAGAATCACTTACAATTTATAATAAAAAAGTACTTAAAACGAAACGTCCGAATAAAATATTAATGTAAAAAAGGGAAACTCAAAAAGGTAATCCAATTTTTTTTAATTTATATCGTTTTTATATTTTTTTAAACTAGATTGGATGAATCGTTTTTGATGTTGCACTAATCTTTTGAATTAAAAAAATGCCCGGCATGTAATTAAGTTATTAAATTAAATTGATAATTAAATGGCTGAAAAATAGGAAGGGCTTCCCAATAATTTGAAAATGATCACTATTAAATACAAAAATAAAGCTTAATGTTCCCATTAATTAACAAAAGTGCTATCACATAAAAAGGCTATATGTTTTACTCGTAATTTCAATGAAATTACACTATATATCAGCAGGTATCAATTTAAACTAAATATTTTCTTTTACATTTAAGAAAATTAAACATAATTATTTCATCAAAATTCAATTCTAATCAAACCTTTCTTGTATTCCTTTATTTATTTGCCTAAAGTATATTTATATCACTATGATTCACCATTAAAAGTTAATGCTACAAAAGTCCTTTTACAAATTTCACTTCTCTTTGTGTGTTTTCTTTTTCAATTAACAATCCTTTCACAATCTCAATTAACCGTTAGACATGCAATAAAGCTGAATCAATATTTGATCTACGTCAGTCTATTTACTATTGAAACTTATCCGAAACATTCTCGCGAACAAATTGCCGCGTAGTAATATCTAAGTCATCTGAACAATACACTAATCAGATAACCGTAGAACGCTTCAGTAAGCTGAGCATCAGTACAATAAGAAATATTTTTTATTTCACTGGAACACACAGTAAGGTTCGTTTACAAGTGTATCAGATCTCGCTAAAAATAAATTGGCTTCTTCCTGTCTTTGTGCGCGTTGTTTTATTTTTTACCAGCGTTATTGGCATTATCGTAAATTTATGATTGTAATGATTGATCTGCGCCTTGTGTGACATGTATGAATCACAGTATAATAATAAATCATAAAACCATGGCCTTTGAAAACATTAAAACTCTGACTTTATTGATTTATAACTGTCATAGTTATCTAATATTTCATTATGTCATAATTCGTATCATATCATATATGCATCTTTGGCTACTAGTTACAAACAAAACTATAGGCCATTTTTTTTAAAAAAAGAAGGTTAATGTATTTATTTTTAGTTGAAATGTTGAAAATGATACTTGAAAAACGTCGTATTACATGTGAAGAAGTTTGTTTTGTGAAATACAAATGTCGCATAATACAGGTATTCATCAAAGTTTTATGCAATGAAAATATTATTATTTCCGCATCAGTTAATCTATAAGAACCTAATTTGTTGTAGCCGATACATCAAGGTTTAACATTGTAGACTAATGTTTCCACTGTCAATATTTTAAAAATGTAAGATCAACATTAGTTTAAAAGATTTAATTTGAAAACCAAATACTATAATTGAAAATTACAGATAACTAACTAACCGTAAACGACATGATTATATGATTTCTTTAACCCTTATCTATCATCTTGAATAAAAACATCCGATGTCATTTGTATAACGTCAGATTTAACGTATATAAAATCACAATAATGTTTAAATAAAAAATGCCGTGAACTGTTCGTTTTAATTAAATTTTATTTTCAATATTAAACACACATTTTGAACATGTTGTCTAATAATAACATCATACGAAATGATTTCTACATTATGTAGTACTATATTTAAAAACTTAACTTTTTATAAGAAGACTGAGATTGCTCTGTCGTTATACTTATGAATAAATAGTAAATCACAAGAGTAAGAAAGAGCATAATTTGGTAGAACATGATTAAGTTAGCATACACGGAAGAGCATGATTAAGTAAGAATGCCCAGAAGAGCATTATTATGTAAGCATACGTGTAAGACCATGAATAAGTGAGCATACATGGAAAAGCATGAGACAGTTAGCATAAACGGAAGAGCATGCTTAATTATATACGTATAAGTATATAAGTATAAAACGGAAGAGCATGACTAAGCATATATGGCAGAGCATGAATTAGAAAGTAAAAAGTAAAAATTGCATTTTATAGTCTAAGTTTCATGCTTACGCACGTTCACCGACTTTACAGCTATTACCCCTGGTCATCGGGCTACTGGTATCTATCTATCAATATCCCTAGGGAGTCTTTTAACTCCGCTTAGTGCAGCCAACACTTTGGCGCAACGGAATTATTCCACCCTCGCAGTTACCCATTTACACATGGGTGAAGTGAAGCAATCGCAGGTAAATTTGTTGCTCACGGAAATTAGCAGTGCCCCTGGTGGGGTTCGAATCCAGGACCTTTTGATCCCTAAGCGCGCGTCCTACCACTGGACTACTGCTCCTACTAAAGTATACACAGAAGAGCACGACTAAGTAATCATACACGGAACAGCATAATTATGTATGCATACACGGAATATCATGATTATTTTAGCATACATGGCAGAGCATGATTAAGCGAGCATTCATGGAAGAGCATGAATAAGTTAGCATACACGGAAGACAGGAGTAAGTAGGCATACATGGAAGAGCATGATTAAAACAACATGCAAGGAAGAGTAGGATAAGTATCCATATACGGAAGAGCATGATTAAGTAAGCAGTTTGCAGTCAGTGTGAAAACAAATATACCCAATAGATATAATAAAATCAGCTGACAATTTCAACAGGTCAATTTGCAACACATATTAAAAATTTTAAACATTGATTTAACATTGTATCTGATTTAAATTTCTTTTTGTTACAATAATTTCAGCTTTCACTGTTTTATGTAGTATACAAATTAGTAATACTATTACTTTATATCTTATATAGCATTTATTCTTACAAATGTCTTTGCTAATAGTTAAACATAATGACTTATTAAATATCAAAATCATCATAATAATGAAAGTTTAAAACAAATCTTTAAAGATAATGTATTTAAATTGTTTGTTTAAACAATTACATCATAATATACTTTGAAATGTATATGCTATTTCATTTTAGGCAAAATATGTATCTAATATTACCAAAAGAATACCCCTTCGCTAAACAACAAACAATATCATAACGATTTACTTTGAAATGTATATACTATTTCATTTTAGACAAAAACATCTATCTAATATAACCAAATAAATATCCATTCACTAAATAACTCAAATGGGAATTCAACAATTCGGAGTTTAGTCGATATGGGAATTCAACAACTCGGAGTTTGGTCGACATTCTTGACTTTATTGCTCTTGACAATGCTTAATACTTCTTTAGTTTCTTTTTCATTCCGATGGGAATAATGTAAGACAATGGCATTGGTGTCCTATGTAACATTAGCAAATGATTACCTCAAAACATAATATGTGATTTCCCATGTGTGACTGTAAGAAAGTCGCTGTCCGCTTTAAGTTGAATGATGTCACGTCATAGATAAGTCGTTATCATTAGTTATACCTGAACAAGGATTGATACATGCAATGATGTGATCACGAAATAGTTCAATATGTTAGTATAAGTAATAGTAAAAAAGACATTTACCATCTATATAACCATACAAGGCTAGCCACGTAAAATAAACCATGCTACCAAAGAAGACAACATAACATTTATTTATAAAACACATTTTCAACAGAAAGGTCCCCAAACTATGATACAATAGTTAAATGGTATACAATTAAATGGTAGAAAACAATATACGGAATGATAACTTATCTTAACATTTTGCAAGGTCTTTAAGTTCAAACATAATGTGACGAATAACCGTACTCCTATAAAGCTTAGAGTTATGTGTCTCATAAATATAAAGTCTCATTCCATTATATAGATTTCCGATAACAAAGAACAAGTTTGTATTTTTCCTCTAATTACTAAATTAATGATTCACCATTTTTGCCTCTGGGAATCTGTCGCATGTCATGGTTTGATCTGCTTACTTTCCACTCGGCAATAATGCATCATTACTCCGGATTGTTTTTTCAATGTATGAAGCACAATTATAGAATTCTTTTGTGACTCACATATGTTAAAGTTGAACAGCTGTTGAACAATTAGTGAAAGGGACTGTTTTAACAATCTGGAAAAAGGAGCAGATCCCTCTGAAGCATTAAAGTCAATAACACTATACCAATATTGCAGACTTGTCTTTTTATGAGAGATAATGTAAACGTGAAACATCTCTTACGCCCCCTAGCACCGGCTTATCTGTATACATTCTTCAACACTAAATGTGCATGAATCAATGACGAGATCCAAAGGACTAAAATAATATTGCACTGACGTGAACTACATGCCAATATTCTACAACTGCCACACAGCACTTTGACACATACTGTTGTGAAATATAAAATCGCTTTACAGGGAGTTCCTTTTGAAGCAATGCGAACACTGAGTTTATATGCAAAGTAAGCCTCCAAAACAATTCAACCATTCATAAAAGTATTTTTCTACATGTATGTAAGTGACAATATAGCTATCTGAGCAAATGATATCTATTGACATTCAAATTATGTAATTTCCGTAACGTAGATTACTTGATACACATGTATGGTCTCTGATGGACTGATGGAGAATCTTACTGAGTAATGCAAATTGATTCCTGTTTATAATATACTGAAATTTATAGTTACACTTAGATTACAAGTTTGAGCGATGCATGTTTGGTCACACAATTAGTTCTAATGTGTCCAGCTGATTGAATTGTCGTTTCAGTATTACACAGACAAAGTGCTTATTATTTATTTTACTTCTTAACAAAAAATTCTTCTTATATGAAACATGAAGGGCACATGCATAGACCATAAAAAACATTGAAATTGAGTGTATATATATATTAAATATTTTATTCAAGTTCTAAGCAAATGGTAAATAAATTGTGATCTTGTTCAATCAATCATATGTATTACATTTGAAATACTGTGAATCAACAATTATAATTATGTCAATTTTTATTAAATTTAAACCATAGTAGCATTGTTTGAATATTAAACTTTATAATAAAATTCATGTTCAATATTTTTCCGTTCAAATGAAGTTTGTTCTGTTATATAAAAATAGTAAAACATTTTTATTCCCGAATTCCAATTTAAAGAACGAATTTCTAAGTTCATGCTCACAATTGCAAGCTTTTTGTAACTTACAAAAAATACAGACAACTACCTAGTAATCAAAGTGTACCCTTCAAATAAAGAATCGTGGATTAGAGTCAAAATGGATAGTGAAGTTAGCAAAAAAAATTAATTGCATGATATTATCATTATATTTATATTCTGAAGGAGTATATATTATATAGATTTTTTTTAATATGTGAGTCGTTAATTGTGCTTTAACAATATTTATTGCCTTTCGGTATATTGGGAACGAGCCAATACATCATTACAAATACATCTCGGATGCACTGTAGCATATTAACACAAAATAGATAAACTGTTAACTTGAACATTACTTGAACATTACCAGTGTTCAGGTAAAAATATTAAACGAGCTAAATGAAAAGCGGCCTAGACTAATGCATGCTTTACTTATGGTGATAAAAACTAAAACGTCTAAACCGAAAGCAATGTTTGGAATTCGGGCGTCTTCACTTGTAAATTAGACACATGCATGTTGTTACATAGAAAAGTGTTTGGATGCGAGGAGACGCTTATAAATGTTTATACATACACAGTTAGTTGATAATGCAGATCTATAACACGAACCAACTAATATTTATTTCTCTTTTCCTATTACGAATAACATGCGCAGATTGCTTCAAAACAAAAATGT